TAGTGCTTGTAGAAAATTATGGAAAAATCTGAGAGGGTGAAGGATGTACCTGAATAGTGCTTGTAGAAAATGATGGAGAAATCCGAGAGGGTAGTTGTGCAAAAGCCAGATTTGGGAGCACGTTGCTGATCTGTCAGTGAGCTGAAATGCTGAAGTCTGCCTACACAGCAAGAATGAGGTAGATTATAGACCTTGGGCATTGAGCAAAGAAAATGTAGGAACATCTTGGTGATAATTTTGTCCTGGAGTCAGTCCAGAAGTGACTCAGATCCAAGAGTCAGTCCATGGAAGTTGAGAGTCTTTGGCTTGCACTGATTTGTTTCTGACCCTAGGCTATTCTGGCCACCACCTGGGCCCTCAGTTCAGTATTGTTTGACCTATCTTGCTCCTCCTCTTCTTCTCCTTACCTTATATTCAACCAAAAGTCAAAATCTATTGCTCTGTCACCTGCTAGTTGTTCTCTTGCTTTATGCAACTCCTTGAAACAAAGACACTCTCAAGACTTGAGTTTGTGCAATACAGGTTTATGGTGCTGTAAGTGTTACCATCTTATTTTAGTTCACCATAACTAACATTTTTATGGAAAAATCAAAATGACATTAGGTAGCAAGGCATGAATTTCATTTCTGAAGTGCTTTTACCCAATATCAGCGTTATGATCTGGTGTTCCTGTTACATTCCTCTCTCAAAGGAAACCATCACTTTTACTTTATGCAATGTGACTTATATAAATGTATTGAATTGATGTTGCATTTTATTTAATATAGTAATATATTGATATAATCCCCTAAAGTTATTCCTGGTTTTCCTGGTTTCCTGTGACATATCCCCTCAAGGATTAATCAAATCAGGTTTCCTCATGCCTGGTGCTAATGGCATAAGATGATGTGTACTCAAGTCCTTAGTCAGTAAATAAACTTTTTTGTAGTGAACTACTCTGGTGGGATGTGTCATCTATGTCAGGCCTATGGGTAGGTTTAAAGGTGTGTCATAACTTTGGAAGTTGTTTCAGCCCTTGGACTGCAGTAGCTGCTGAGACAAGTAGTTGGCCATGTGTCTGGGGGCGCAGCATGCCCGTATGAAGTAATACGGGTGCTCTGCTACGTTCTGGCCCTGCTTTCCTTCTGCAGTGGCCTCAAAGGGTAGCTCTACTGCATCTGGGGAGCAGGGACTGCGAGAGTTTTTTTCCTGGCACTGAAACAGCCTCTCTCATTTTAGCCGCTGCTGAATTTATTCCTCCTGGAACGTATTTGGTCTGTGTGGTTGTGTCTTTGAGTTCATAATGTTCTAAAGATCCACCAAAAAGTTTTATGTAAGTTACCCAATTCACAGCCTTATCGTATCTGTATCTGCATGGTCTAATCATTCCGTTCTGTTTCACTGCCAGACTAAGACTTTGTGCATGTGATGATACAGTATCACATCGTCTCTTCTCCATACTGTAGAGGAGAAGGCTTATTTTAAAATTCTGGTGTAATTCTTCAGAGGGACAAAGTAGATCGATTTAATGGGTGCTGACTGGTTCTATGTAAAGATGTTAAAATGGAACAGGGAGTGCTGTTGTGTATGGTTCAGTCTGCCAGTCTGCTGAGGATTCTCACACACACACAGAAAAAAAAGTAAAAGCAGTAACATTCCTGACAAATTACAGAATGTCTTTTTGGAGTTCGCGTTTGTGTTTGGGAAGGGGAAGAAGCTGTTTGTCAAGGTCTTCCTCTTTCTATTCTCTGTTAGATTTTTAAGGTGTCCCTGCTCATTTTTCCCTTCAGACTATTCTAGTTGAAATAACTCAAAAACATCCTTAGGGAGTTCGTGTCTCTGTAGCCAATGTGAAGAATAAACAAATATAAGCTTAATTTTAACTGACACTAAATCTATTTGTACACAGTACTGGTAAACTTTATGGTTACTGTCACAGTTTATTTCATGTCTTAGAGCCTTTGTATCATAGAGTGACTATAACTTAAGGTAAATGGCTATGAAACACAAGAGTTTGGTCTTGCTTTTGGATAATAGATAATCACTTATGTGGAAACAGAAATATTTTGTCTTTGATGTAAAAAACAGAATAGGCAGCTGATGAGGTATATTATCTTCAATAACAAGAATGGGTATCTGTCAGAGCAAAACCCTTCCCTGATCACATAGCTGTGCTTGGCTTCAGTCGTCTTTGTGTTGTACTGATTACTGGTGTTAAAATTATCTCCTTGTATGCATAATAGGAGAACAGAATATTAATAGAGACGACTCACTTGAAAGTCCTAAAAGAACAGTTTATCTTTTCTGAAGTGGAATTTATTGGCAGTACTGAAGCTATTGAACCAGTGAAGATATAGCTGACTTGATTTAGTCATACTGTTAAACAAAGTTGTAATTAAATATGAACATCAAAATATGTTCTATGATTTTCTGAAAATGCTACAAGCTTTGTGTTTCTGTGATTTGAAAACTGAAATGATAATAGCTTTAGATGACATGGATAGTTTTTACATGCACTTTAAAGTAAAAGAAAAAAAGGAAATATCTGTTTTTGGGAAAGATGGATGATGATAGCACTCATTCTGTAACTGTTCAGCTGAAAACACTTACTGTATGGAGTTTACACTTTAGCTTTTCCAAGTAATAACTGATCATTGTGTCAATGAGATGTGATAACTGAAGATCATGAAGACTAAATTAAAGTTGAGTTGGTTTTATAACTTTTCATTTTTTGGTTTAATTTATGCATTTGTTTTGCTTCATTTTTTTCATAGTTCTGTATGTTTTGGTTGAAATGTTTTATAACACCTAGCAGTAAATTTTTGGGAGGATGATAGTACTACTGTTGTTTTGATTATTGTACTTTCAAGTATTTTATTATTCTCTTTTTAGCAGGATGTGAATATTTCTACTAATCATTGTTTCCAGACATGGTGAAAAGTTTTACACTGGTGGTTTTGAAAGGGTTTGTTAATGTTCTTCACAAAATTGATTTTAAGATATAGAGTTAAAAAGTGACTGGTGAGAGTGCATGGAAAATTTGACCCAAGTATTTAGAAATGGTCTTTCTTGCATATCAATGTAACATAATGACTGCCAGGAAAAATTAATGCATTCTGAGCTTTCCTTGATTCCAGTTTGGCTGCTCTACAAAATGAATTCACTTTAGTAAAAGTCCACGAAAGTTTTTACTACCAAATACTTATTACTTTTTTCCTTAAAATTGTATCAATGAAGCCCACAGACAATCAATAACTTGACAAAATAAAGCTACCTCACTTAATGTGAAGTTTTATAGAAAATACCTTTTTTTTTAATTAAGCATAGGTATTTTTATAGTTTTCTTGTGATAAAAAAGCTATAGGCATAGATCTGAGTTTGTTTTTTTTTTTCCCAGTGTTGGCATATTGCCCAAAAATATGAAGGAATGTGTGGGATGCACACTTTTCTAGTGCTGTAATGGCAGTTTGAATATCTTTCTTTCCTCATCTAACACAGCTTTAAGGGGTGTACTTTTTTATATATTCATAATAGAGACTTCACTAAAAGCTGTGCATGGCAGACTTTGGCATTCCATTTGTGATGTGAGCCATCCATTTACTAGCTTGGTTTACTTCTGATTCTGCTTTCAGGCTTAAGAGCAGAAACTTTTTATATCTTTAATTTACTTTAATGAATTGTGGAGATGATTGCCTTAGATAATGCCCTGTTTGGTAAAGCAGAAGTTGTTGGCTGGGCTCTGCCTAGTTGAAGAGAGCTGGCATGGAGCTGGGAGAGGGGTTTAGCTAATGATGTTGCCGCACCTCAGTTGAGAGACACATTCCCATGGACTTAATAGGGGGAAAATACGGTTTTTGACTTCCATGTCATCTGAGCTGAAATGGCTTGTTCAAGAAAGGTCGATTGATATTGGAAAAATTACTGACCTGACACCAATTAACACTGAGAGCAAAAAGAGTATCCACTGCTATCAGCTTTCCTTGCTGTTGCTGCAGGACAAGACTTGCATGAGCACAGAACACAGTGGGAAATCTGTCTTCTCCCAGTTCTTACCTGCACGCAAATATGATGCAGAATCCCTCTTCTCCCTCAAACTGATCTTTCAGTGCACTTCTGATGATTCTCCTCAGAAATACTTTTAACACTGCCTTCTGCATCTGAAGTAGACTGCAACTACAGATATAGGAAGCACCTTGTCTTCTGTGCCTGTAAAGTGGCGTGTGTCTACAGCTGTCTATGAGTAATAACCTGAACTGCCTCCCGGGGAAGCAGTAACAATTGGAATTGTTATTTAGCTATTGTTTTGTTTTGCTCTTTTTATTAGCCGCTATTTTAGTAGGTGTAGTCAGCAGGGGTTGAGAGAGAATAACAAGTGACTTTTCCTTTGGTCCAAGGGGACAATTCAGTTTGTTTGCAGTAGATGCTATTGTCTCCTCAATGTGGTCAACTGAAAGGAACTGACCTCTGTGCCAGTCAACAGGTCTCTTAGACTGTTGCCGATAACAGGATGAACCTCACACAGCAAGTCTTGCTTTAAGCAAAGGCTTCAGAAGAATGGAAAAGGAAAGCTGTGGCTTTAGAAGCTTTAGAAAGCCATTTCCACACCATCAGAACAGCTTTGGGCCAGCAGCAAGGGACTGGTATGAACTCTGGGTCATACCCAGTTTCTCTGGTAGCAGGGAAAGATTTAATGCAAAAGTTCTTGTTATATGCCTCTATGACCAGCAGAAATCCCAGAATATAAGGAAGACTGTCTTCTGTTCCATATAGAACAGTATTAGATGCAATGCTTCTGGTGCAGCTAACTACAAATGTTAGTATACATGTGTCATCTTTATATAAGCGATCCTAATTGTATGGGATGATGCTAATCCATGGATTTAAAGCAGTTTGTGAATATGTATAGGTATTCAATTGTTGCTGAACTATAAAATCAAACATGTTTCCTTCCTGCAGTATCTTGGTCTTTTTCTTCCTCTTCCCATCCCCATTAGACTAAATGTCTTTATTTTTCTTCATAGATTGAAATGCTAAGGAAGAAAGTAAAAGAAAAGGAATTATTTATAATACAGCTTTTAGAAAAAATCTCTTTCTTAGAATGTGAGGTAAGGCTTTACCTTTTAAGTCTACATTATTGTGATTATTTTATGAAACCAAATAAAATTTGAACCAATGTCACCTGATGTTATCTGGATGCATATTTACTACATGTATTTGCTGTTCTTCAGTATGGAAATCAAACTTATGACACCTGTCACATGAGGAATGTATGTAATCCAGAGTCTCAATATTCATGCTAAGTTTCTTAACATACAATTTTATAACAGTATTATAATTACTTAAAACAGAAGCTTCTGAATAAAATTGTTATATTTTTCTAAGAAATAAGGATTCCTTTATTTTCTCAATAAATACTTTTACATTATTTCTTGTGGGGAGAAGCCAATGTGCAATTTTATTTCCTTGTTTAATTAACATATTTTAAATAAGATAAGCTTTTGATGAAGATTACTGTTTTCCAGAATAAAGAATTACAAGATAAATTGGACTACTTGATGGAAAACCAACCAAAGACCAATATAGAAACCAGAGATACTGGTGTAGGATGTGATCTTCCATACAGGTATTTACTTCTTCTGCTTGTTCATAGGAAACTTCTTCATAATGTTCCTTATTGGTGCTGTATTAGTAAACCATTGTGCTAATAAACCGTGGATTGTGGAGGTTTGCAAAATTTTCCTAAGTTTAAAAGAGCACATCTACTGGGTGTAGTGTACTTCAGTGACTTATGGAGTAGGATTTTTTTTTTAAGATGCAAACATCTTGCAAACCCCTGGGGAGTACTTATTTACAGTAACGTGAATTAAGGAGGGAGTAAAGCTAGAAGTCAACAGATCTGACTTTGTGAAATATGGGAAATATTGATGAAATGTGTCTGCAGGCAGTGCAGCAGAAGACAATGGGCAGATCTACCCTGAGGCTGGTTAATGCTGGCTTCGTGCATGCTTTATTCTTTGTGTTCCGGGAGATGTGTCCAGGACCATTTTAAAGGGCAGGTAACACCAACACTAACAGTTTAGGGCTGCAGCAATTTCTGGAGATATCCTAGCCCTAGGTGGAAGACTGCCAAATAAACAGTGCAGTAACATTAGCACTTCTGCACCGGAATGGTTGTCTCTGATCTGTGGTGGCCAGTGGCTCTGTAGCCTGGCTTTGTAAAGATCCAGGTCTTGTGCCTCCCCTTCTCCTCCTCCCCTTTCTCTGCCCTGAACACTGCAACAGGGTTGCACTGAGCCCTGGGAGCAAGGCTGTGGACTTGCACTTGAATCTTCCCCCCCAACAAGTCACCCCAGGAAGGGCAAAACAGAAGCTAAAACAGTAAGGTAAGGAGGACCACTGCACATTACTTTTACTTCCAACAAGTAAACTTGCTCATCTTAACTGCCCTGCAAATTGAATAATTTAGTCTGAGGAATGTAAATTAGCATATGAAATCAGCAAGCTGCAATACAAACTGTATTTTTAAATTGGGAAGGAAATTTTAGTCATCTCAGTGTTCAGCCTAGAGCATATTTTAATGGCATGAGTTTTGAAACCTCAAAACCAGTGTTTTTCACTCATGGTGCCAACAGAAAGCTATCTTTGTTGTCCTCTCTGGGGCCCCTCTGTATGTAACCACAGCCCCTACTTATCTGATATTTTTCCTATTTTTGAGATTTCTCTCTATGCAGAAATTTACCTCTGTGCAGCTCAGATTTTATGGAATTACTCTTCACAATGAACGTGTTCTCAAATGTAATATTGCTGTCTTTATTGTTGCAGGATCCTTAGTCCTAGTAGCTGTATTGCTGGACGTTCCAATATGAGCTCCGGCAGATGCCTGCATGTAAACTTTTCAGTATCTGCCACGGTTTTTATCAAATTTTTTTTTTTTGTGGCATTATAGAAAAGAAATATAGGACATATCAAATACACTGAATAGTTTACTCTTAGCCTGGCAATATCAATAACAAGGCACAAGTTCATTGCCATGGCATTTCCAGCCCAGCTGTTGGATACTCTGACATTACCTCTGTAAGCTTTTTCTTGTCTCCTTAACAGTACAAGTACCGAGAACAGAAGATCTCCTGAAAGTGCAAGGCCGGTGAGGACATACGCCCCATTCAAGAGAGTGTTGGAATTTAGCACAAAGAACAGTACATCTTGAGCATTCAAGTCAACGTGCTTTCTAAACACAAGCAAATATCTTGCGCCTTTGCAGCTTGATTAGATAAATTTTTATCAAGTCATAGAGAAGAACAGCAGCATGGAGTCTTGCTAAATTTATCCCGAAAGCAACTTTTTAGTAACTTCATATCTGAAGCTACTACTGACGTTAACTGTGAGGGGGATATGGAAGAAGCGGGATGAGTGAAACAGCAGTCAATATTGCTTCTTTAGAAGCTGTCTAGTGCAATGTGTCATTTCAAATGCCTGTAAGGAAGGAGTTGTATAACTGTACAGTTTTTCTCTTCACTTGTTTTGTAAGTCTGTTTGTGTAATGAGGCTCTTAATATATTTTATTTTCAGTACTACTAGAAGCAGTATCTGAAACTACGCTGGCAGTGGGCATTAGTCTGAAAGCTCCCCCTTTGTCTGTGTACAAAGTGTGAGGGCTGTTCATGCCTGTCATAAAGACCAGGTATAGCTGAGGGCTCTGTTCACCTGGAAGAAGTTCACTTGTAACCAGCACTCGTTTGCTGGCAGGGAGAGATTCAACTGGGCTGTTTCAAACAGTTCCCTCAGCACATGCAGATGAATGTCGTGTTTGTTGCTCAAAACAGTAAGCGATAGAGCGGATTATAATGGATTTTGCTTTGTTGGACTGGGGCACTGGTTTGCACTTCCTCAGTCATGGGATAGAGTGACTATTGGTGATACATTCAATAGTAATTGTGTAGGAAAATCCCCGTCACTTTTATTTTTATTTACTTTCCCATTAGAGGAAGGAATTTTCATTAAACAGAATTTTGCCTATAGCAACCTGCAGCAGTCCCTGCAATTCCTACAGCAATAGCAATCCTGAATCAGGATTTTGATTTTTGAGTACTGGGTTGGTTTGGTTTTTTTTTTTTTTTTTTTTTTTCAAAAGCACTTAAGATTTTTTCCTTGACTTCAAAGTACGCATCTAGTACTGAACTTATTTAAATATATATATAGGGTATTTTTTTACATCTTGTTTTGATCTCCCAGTCTTAGTGAACTAAAATGAATTATGAATATTTTCTTGTAGTTCTATTAACATGAATGAAGGGCATTTTTTTTATTGCAGTAACTGCTATAGAAAACAAACAACTTATGTTTTGTATGGTTAATATTGTTCTTGCATTGAATGTCAGTCCCAGGAGGTACTCACCTTTCCACAGGGCTTCACAAAGTGATTGCTTTTATCTCCCGTCTAATGCAAGTTCTTAAATTCAGTACTGTCTGTTCAAATTAGGTATACTCAGTAGAGTTGTATTTAAAATAATAATATTGATCTCATAATCCAAATCTTATTCCTGCATTATTTCATGGGTTTCTGAATTCGTTAGAGAACTTTGTTTATTCGGTAGCTGTGCTGTTTAACTACTTAAATAAAGAAGCTGTTTTGATGTGGTACAAATATCTTGCAGGAACATGAATTGCTTGATATAATCAAAGCATCCACAAAATAAAATGGGAAGCTCAGACCTCTCCAGCTTTTGTGCTCAGATCATCCTCTGCACATAAGCTAGTTTTTTTTTTTCTTGTGACCTGTTCAGCTCCTGAGAACTTAAAATGGTCATTCTTTCTAAAAAGTCAAACACAATCTCAATGCACAAAATTCAATAATTGCAATCAAAGCCGTTAACAAAAAAGCAAATGATCTACTGTGCGAGGGAAGCCGGTAATCTTCACTAGTATAAAAGTTGCAAACATTAACAGCTCCTCAGTGTTTCTTTTAAAAAGAATAACTAAAAAATACCTTGATAGTTTTAATAGCTTTAAAAGGAAACTCTCTTTACTTTGCATGTGATGAGGGAGTGCAAAAGATCTCATAGATATCAAAAGGGCAAAGAAAACCCTCCAGCTGTCACATTAGTAAACAGGCATAATACCACACATTTGCTTAACTAGCTTCTCCCAGAGAAGAGGTGCAAAACCTCTGTAGTGGGAAAGGGCTTGAAGAGAAGGTCCCCGAGAAAAATGTCTGCTCCCTATAAAAACAGTCCTCAGACAAAGCACCCTCTCATTATGCAAAGCAGAGGAATTGTTATGTACCTGAATACTAAAGACGTGGAAACAGCCGACACTTGGAGAAGCTGTAGTCTTAACCGTGCATAGGGTATTTTTGATTGAATGAAGTTTTGATGCTTGAGTGGATTTGGGAGACTGTTTGCTGAACAGAGTTCCCAAATAACAGTTAATTTGATCAATAACTAAATGAATTATGGTTATGAACAACGAAGATCACGAAGTGAAACTCTAAATGAGAAAACATTTAAACTGGAAGTGTATGTCGATGAACCCAAAAGATGATGGGTAATGACCCAACTCAAATTTCAGGGATAAGCTTGGTACTTGTGTAATCGTATCTCCCTCTAGTGGCTGCTAACAGCAAATACTTGGACAGTACCTGGTTTTGAAGAGAAAGACGCTAAAAACGAATCCCAACTGGCCGTATTAATGTCCGTTAGGGATGCAGCTTTAGTTCATTACATAATGCCTTTTAACACTTCTTGTGCCCAAATACTCCCTCTAGATTTCAGGAATTTACTTCTGAAGCATGGTTTGTGAAAGTTACCTTCAAACTTAAGATGAATGGCTGAAGGCAGTAATTATAGATAAAAGGAAACTCATGTTGCTGTCAAAGATGTTAACTGACAAGTTTAAATAAGTAAAAATGCTTTATCCCTTTATTTTTGGCCAGAACTCAGAAAACAGAACCTGATGACTGTGAGGTGCTCAGTGAATGGTAGCAGAGGGCAGGATGAAGTATCAAAATGCTGTTTTGACACAGACTTCAAAAGGAAGTTCATTCTACTTTTAATATACTCCTGAGGGTCTCCTCTAAAAATACTGCAAGCTGTTTTAACTCTGAGACTTGCAAAATGATGATCATCTGCTCAAGACTTCCAAGACTGCAGCAAGGCATTGAATTTTTCCTGTAAAAGTTTTCTGTGTAAATTCTGTCTTGACTATTCGATTAAATGATTTTTTTTTCCTAGACCAAATAAGAACTGAAGTCTATGCTATATTTTAAGAGCATTTTGACATGCAGTGAACTGGATGACCATCACTTGACTGGACTACTGGTCTAAATTTGGTAACTGTGAAGAACAGGAGAGGAGCAGTATTTATATAATTGTGTTACCTGAAAATGCAGAGCTTTCCAGTCAAATCGGCAGCAATGTAAATTAGCATAGATAATAACAAATCTGACTGAAAAAACTGTAACACTTCGGTATAAATTTTGTCAATTTGAGATTAATTAGTACTATAACATTAGAAACCAGTAAAATTTCTGTAAACATCAATAAAAGCCATATAGATAGGTCCCAGAAAGTGCATTAAATGTAAGTCAATTGTATGACTACATTTGTACCATGGTAAGTATTCTTT